AAGAGCGAAAGCATCATCTCCCTCAAATATTAAACCCAAATGCCTGAGATTTGGCATTGTAGGAAATATACGATCGCACCTGAACAACTGAAGACAAAGAAAAGTAACATAATCTGAAAAACATATATATTTTAAAAGAAAGGAAAACTAACACAAAATAATAACATAATACGTACTAACCACATTGTAAGTCAAGTTGAGAGTCTCTAGCTGAGAAAGACAGTATGAAAGTTGGGCGAAGACAACCTCAAAGAAAAGATTGTTGGGCTCACAAATGGATACGTCAACAAGACGAGGTACATTCCTGATAAGCAAGTTTATCATTGTATGTCCAGCATAAGTAAATGAAACAAGGTTTGCATCACGAATCTCAATGCTCTCCATCATGAAACATTCCCAGATCCCTAAGTACTTCAAGGCAATTGATGTACCGACAACTCTTAGACGAGACACGTATCGGGAATTATAGACTGATAATCGTTCAAGAACTGGACAATTAGACAAGAAGTACTGGAGAACTTCTTCTGCAATATCAACATTTTTGAAACGAAGATCTTTGAGGGACTTAAAGCCAGTGTACATGCAAGGGTCTAGATTTGGAACCTCAAAACAGAAGGGCCTCCATGCAGACCCTTGTTTGAAACCAAAAACTTGGTGGGGAAACAAAGTATAGCTCTGGTGAAAACCATATTCTAGGAAGTCAATGTCAAGCATTTGAACTCCCTTTTTCATTGCAAATCGGATCCATTTATCAATGGAACTTGAAGAACGATTATCGAGATGAAAGCTAACTCTGAATTGTTCGACTTTAGGGCCTCTGTGTTGTTCCACCACGCTATTGACCCAATTGACATACCTGAGGTTTGCCAACTCTTGGGCTTCTCCTCCTGGTGGCTTGGCAGTACGGCATAAAGTGTCCTCATCATCGAAGTTGAGATTCATAGTAGACGTCCACAGATACTGCCATTGCCTAGAAAGGATACTAGTTGATGCTGCTTCCTTTAGCGGCAAGAGTGACAATATAGTGACAAGAATTTCATGGGGTAAATAACTGATTCGGTCCACCAAGTTGTCATGAGTAGTTTTCCTTCTCTTTCTCAAGTTGTAACGACCCTTCACCAAAGAAAAAAGATATAGCAATTTTCACAAGAAAAGGTTGAGCAGGACTAGGATTAAATACCAGCTGGCAAGAGAACCCATTCTCTTACCGTTGGGTTTGAATGAGGAAAATAAACCCGTAATTTAGACCATAATTTTTTAATTTACATACACCAACTCTCCTATTTAGATTCATAAACAAAGAAATTTATAAATTTCATTTGGAAAAAAAAAAAAAAAAAAAATCTTGGAATTTTATCATAATAAATTTTAAATTTCAATTTCATCTAAATACTTTTCATTTCTAGAATTCTAATAGAGTGAGAGACTTAGAAAGAAAACCACCACCACCACCTTGTCATGGTCATCACCACCACTGCCCCAGCACTATTACTAGCGCCATCACCTCATCCCATCAACATCACGGCCACAACCAACTCCATCCCCTTTGTACCACCACCTTACCACTAACTAGAAACCCCACCACCAACATTAGACATGATGGCACTGCCAACCAGTACAATTAATGTATCTACCCACCACAGCTACTCATTTATAGATTGATGCCACTAAAAAGAAAATCATGTAAGCCCCATTATACTTTTAAATTAACCAAACAACCAACTTCACAAATTTAAGATCATTAAATCCAATCATTTTTTAATTTCTTAGTATTCCTAAATTTCCTCATCCAAAACGCATGATTAAATTGTTAATTTTTATTCCCAAAATGAAGAACAATAATGTTTACAAATACAAAAAAGGATATCATGTTGATGATTTTACCTCTCTCGGTTCGACCATTTTGAATGAGAAATAGGTAAAGACTGATTTACGAGAGAAGACGATGTGATCTAGACAAGCCTCAAACTCCTCATCCACGCCTCCGTCTAGCACTAGTTTGGTTCGCCAACGGGTTCCAGGGCCTAGACCGCCTCTTAACTTGATTCGTTTTGGCTAGGGCACCCAAATCAGCTATATATTTGACATGGATTTTCGGTAATGGTAAATCTAATGGAAAATGCATGTATCGTCATTAATGCATAAAGGCTTTTTATTACAAATAGTTCCTGAGGTTTACGAAATTGTCATGAGTCGTCCTTAAGGTTTTGTTTTGTGACATTAATACTCTTTAACGTTACCCTTTGCACATCAAAATTGTCCTTGCCGTTAGAAATTCAATTAAGTGGTTTATGTGGAAGATAAGTGGAGCTCACATGTCCAATGACATCATGGACACATGGAATTAGATAAATAAATAAATATTTTAAAAAGTTTAAATTGAAAATCAATTATTAAATTCATAAACAAAGAAATTTATAAATTTCATTTGGAAAAAAAAAAAAAAAAAAAATCTTGGAATTTTATCATAATAAATTTTAAATTTCAATTTCATCTAAATACTTTTCATTTCTAGAATTCTAATAGAGTGAGAGACTTAGAAAGAAAACCACCACCACCACCTTGTCATGGTCATCACCACCACTGCCCCAGCACTATTACTAGCGCCATCACCTCATCCCATCAACATCACGGCCACAACCAACTCCATCCCCTTTGTACCACCACCTTACCACTAACTAGAAACCCCACCACCAACATTAGACATGATGGCACTGCCAACCAGTACAATTAATGTATCTACCCACCACAGCTACTCATTTATAGATTGATGCCACTAAAAAGAAAATCATGTAAGCCCCATTATACTTTTAAATTAACCAAACAACCAACTTCACAAATTTAAGATCATTAAATCCAATCATTTTTTAATTTCTTAGTATTCCTAAATTTCCTCATCCAAAACGCATGATTAAATTGTTAATTTTTATTCCCAAAATGAAGAACAATAATGTTTACAAATACAAAAAAGGATATCATGTTGATGATTTTACCTCTCTCGGTTCGACCATTTTGAATGAGAAATAGGTAAAGACTGATTTACGAGAGAAGACGATGTGATCTAGACAAGCCTCAAACTCCTCATCCACGCCTCCGTCTAGCACTAGTTTGGTTCGCCAACGGGTTCCAGGGCCTAGACCGCCTCTTAACTTGATTCGTTTTGGCTAGGGCACCCAAATCAGCTATATATTTGACATGGATTTTCGGTAATGGTAAATCTAATGGAAAATGCATGTATCGTCATTAATGCATAAAGGCTTTTTATTACAAATAGTTCCTGAGGTTTACGAAATTGTCATGAGTCGTCCTTAAGGTTTTGTTTTGTGACATTAATACTCTTTAACGTTACCCTTTGCACATCAAAATTGTCCTTGCCGTTAGAAATTCAATTAAGTGGTTTATGTGGAAGATAAGTGGAGCTCACATGTCCAATGACATCATGGACACATGGAATTAGATAAATAAATAAATATTTTAAAAAGTTTAAATTGAAAATCAATTATTAAAAATTAAAAAGCCATATTTTTAAAAAAGTTACAGGGTCCCATCCCCCTTGTTCTCCATCTCTCCCCCATCCACCCCCTCTCCACCCTATGCCCTCTCTCTCTCCCGCATTGCCTATCTCTCCCTCTCTTCTCTCTCCCCCTTTGCTCTCCCTCTCCGTCTTTTTTCTTTCTTGCCCACAACCCGACCTCATCCCCACTTGCAACCCACGCCCAACCCTACCCTCTCCCTTTGTTTTTTTTATCTCACCCTCTACTCTCCCTCTCTCCCCCATGTGTTCTCCATCTCCTTCTTCTTTTTTTATCACCCACGACCCGACCACCCCCATCCCCACCCTCAACCCACGCCCAAGCCATAGCCCCAACCACAACCCACCCATATCCCCACCCTCTCACTCTCTTAAGGGCGGAACCATGAATTTTTCAACGGGTGGGCTAGCAAAAGTTATTAGCTTAAAATCTATGACCTTTTTTCTTGTACTTACAATTTCTATAGTCTTTCTAGAAATAAAAGTAAACATTAAATCATATAAACCACGTTAGTTCATAACTCCATTGACTAATTTCCAATAAGCATTATCATATAAAACAAATACATATGAATTGTACGGATTTTTGTAGAAATGTCACCGCACACAAGGGATGGGGTTGTGATGAGGGAATGGGGAATGGATTTCTAGGGGACGGGGTTGGTTGGAGCCACCAATGGCACACCGGGGATGAGGAAGCTGATTTATTTTTTTTCATTTTTAATTTTTTAAAAGATATTCAATTTTTGTTATAATGATTTTTCCATTTTTAAAATACCCTTAAAATGGAAAGACTAAAATACCCTTAAAATATATAGAAAATTGGATGGTATTAAAGTCAGATGACAAATCATGAATTTTGAAAAATTAAGGTGACATTTCTTTTAAATTTTTCTTTGAGATGACAAATTAAAACTAAGGTATAAGTTTAGGTGGCATTTCTACAAAAATCCCTTAAAAATAACTGAAAAACACATTATCAAAATGAAAATATATTCAACAGAATTGAAAGTGTACCTATTTTAATGTGCATTTTTATTGCTTGTCTGCAACTAAATTCATGAAGAATTGGAATTTTTGGGCTTTAATAAGTTAATATATACTAGGCTAATATTTAAAACAAGTTAAATATATAGTTTTGATGTTTCTTCCCTCAAAAACCACATATGTAGCCCTTAGTGTGGTTCTACAAGTGCCCTCTCCCCTTGTTTCCCTTTCCTCCTCTACTCTCCCTCTCTTCCCCCTCTACTCTCAGTTTCTCTCTATTTTTAATGTTTTTATTTATTTATTTATGGATTTTCAATTTTAAAACTTTTCAAAAAAATATATTTATTATCTAATGCACATCTCAAGATGTCATTGGACATGTGTTTCCACTTTTCTTCCATGTGTTGATAGAAATTCTAAAAATATGGACGACTTTGATGTGCAAAGGGTAATGTTAATGATTATTAATGTCACAAACAAACCTTAAAGATGATTTGTGAGAATTTCGTAAACCTTACGTACCATTTTTTATTATATATAAAAAAAGCCATACATAAATAAAGAAACCAATTAGTTCTAATTGAATTCCTTCTATGGTTCCACATGATAAATGTAGGAGCAAGATTTCACCTGAAAGGAAAATAAATACATGCGGACAAGAACGTAGGCAAATCAAAGTACTAATCAAGGCTTTTTTCCAGGGTATGGATTCAAAATTCAAATCTCAGCAGGATGCACTTGACTTCGCATTCTGATTTACAAAACAAGGAGTTAAGCAAGGGCCAGGAGATTGATGGAAGAATTGTTAGTTTTAGGATTGTTAGAATTGGCTTTCCTTGCCAAAAGTACACTTTCATGTAATTCCTCCTAGCTCATCTTTAGAAATTAGGCATTGGGTATTTGCTACAAAGTTGAAGTATATTGAAGAACTTATGAGGCTACAAAACAAAGGTAATTTGTGCATTCATCTATAATGGAAATCATTAGGAAAATCAACATTTGCATCCATATACTTTGTCGAGATGACTAGTCATATAGGCCAAATCAGCATTTGCTTCCATATACTTTGTCGAGATGACTAGTCGTATAGGCCAATATTTACAGCATGGATTTTTAACCAAAGCACGTGATTTTGCTTATTATCAATCCAATCTTTGGCTGCCAAGTGTCCTTTTGTCCTATAAAAATGGCTGGGGCTGGTCTGGACTCAAGAACTCTCTCATTTACATTTTTCAAAATGGGTTTTTAGAGAGAGAGAGAGTTCTAGTGAGAGATGGTGCATAAATTAGGTTTTGATTTTTGGGAGAAGAGTCCATGGGTTTTTGAATTCCTTTTGGGGCTTTCATTGAAATTTCTTTTCTCAAACTTTTGTTTAGTGATACAAAGTTTTCATTCTCACCACTTTCATTTTCACCATTTTGGAAAACTTAGTTTTCTCTTTAGTTTGTTTGAGAGTGTTCATGGCATAGAAATGGGTTTT